CATTAGTATCATCAGGAGATAATTAGTACCCAAGTTAAGAAAGCTAAACCTGTACAGATGTCTTGGCAACTGCCCAGTGTTCATTCAGAATCATAAAACTACTCTGTATCATGTAAATCCTGTATTGGGCAGCATTGTAAACTTGTTTTACTAACTTATTACATAATATTGTATTACATGTATATTGTACTTTGAAATGTAAAATTATAATTTAAAATTTACGAAATAAAGAAGTACATAATACTAATTAATAACGTTACAGACGGACACAATATTAGAAAATAAAGTATACCATAAATTTTAAAGGTGCATATAATTACGGGAGTAGTGGGGCTACATTCCTAAACTTCATACTTTCGACTATCGTAATTTTGCGGTGCAATTACTGAGTCTGCTATAGACAGTCTTCACAGATCGGGTGGTAAATTGACGAGGATATTGCCCGAGAAATCACTCGTTTCTAAAAGATTAATGTTTGTCGCTCACGTAGCATGTAACGCGATGAATGAATTGTAATTTATGAATATGAAGATATCATCTGTAAAATATACGCTCCTGCTCGCTCTGAACCCGTAGATATTGGAACTGAAAACAGAATATATTGGTATCCAGTTTCATCGGCATCTATAATTAAGGTATACCACGATATCTTCAAAATATCATAACACATAGCCGTGCCTCGGCCAGCTAGCGCAAAGACATTGCTCCAGAATCTGTCGGCTCATTATTCCATATATGGAGAGGCAGTGTAGGGAAGTAAGTCTGGTTACAAAGAATAAGGCAGTAAGTGATGGTAGCGTGTAACTGATCCTTCTGGCTTTCAGATAAAGTGCAGTGATTCTCATTGAGAGACGATGGATCTGGCGAATGGCGATAAATCAAAATCTTTCTAAATTTCCTGCACATGAAGTATAGCATTTATCTCAACTACAGGTCCTGGAAGCGGAAGTATCAGTCCCCAAAGTAAGAAGAAAACTTGGTGACACCTCAGCCAAAAAGTCCTGAGATTCGTATTGAGAGACGATGGACCTGGCGATAAACTCAGACGAATGATGCACAGATGTACTAATATCTCAACCTAACGAGTCACAGTAGATGAAGAAAGACAGTATTAATAGTAATTGTGTGTTTGCAGTTTTAAGCACTTATCCAATCTCGGAACCTTCAGTAATAGTCGTTCAAGTGTACTTGGATATGTTTTATACATGTTGTGAACGCGGGAGGGATCAAAAGAGTGGTAATTCAACGGAAGGTTCGCCTACAGATATTCAGTACTCGGATACTTGTTAATGCTATTCAGTCACTGTACTCTTTCTACTCCGATTACCAATGTGTTAGTTAGGTTTTAACATTGTGTGATATTTTATATTATTCAGTGTTCTTTATCACAGAACTTCTTACTTCTGTCCGTTAGAACACGCGAGGCGTTTTGTAACTCCCCCAATGTGAGCATTAAGCACAGCACAATATAAGCACAATGTAAGCACAATTAAGCATAATGATGTGCTAAAGAAGATGCCTCAAAGCAGGTACGTTAAAAGTATCAAGTGCTGCTGGTGTAGGTAAAGTTGGAGATGTGCCAGATATGTTGAGAGAGTTAACATGATAGCCTTGCTATTGTATATTGGCTGTGCAGAATAGAGCGTCTTACCGTATCTGGTCAAGATTCGATCGCATTCTTTATTCTTGGTGGATATACTGAATTAGGAGATGGTACTAATCAGTCGTGACCATATAAGGGCATCAGGTGACAGGTGTTAGATATTCCATTCTTAAGATTATCATACTATATTACACTACATAATATATCACGCATTACAGTGTCTACTGTCTACATGAAGTACAAAGTACCTGGATAATCTAATCTTCGTAGGATACAGCTGATTGGATTAATTGTCCTTCTAATAAATTACTAATTGATAGTCTACAATAATTATCTTTAATTGTACTTCCTAATAAGGGGTAATTACATTGCTGTCCATTATCTGGGGTAATGTCTTTAGTTCTGAAGTGGGTTTTTGGAAACATGTGTTTTCTCGTTAAAAAAAGAGGTTTCATACTTTTGTAGTGCTTATGTCAGATATGGTATGATCATAGCGCCGTTGATTCCGAGAATGATAAAGAGACAGTGCAGGAAGCATGAACCTGGGAACTTTGTCAAAGATGACAAGCGTAAATAAAGAACTATTTCATTTATCGGACTAGTAATCCGCGTTTAGATTTGTCAGTTCGCCCATTAAAATTATACACTCTGACAGTCTGACTGTTTGGATTAAAATTAAATTGTAAACACTCTGACAGTCTGACTGTTTGGATTAAAATTAAATTGTAAACACTCTGACAGTCTGACTCGACTGTTTGGATTTGTCACCAATGTCAACACGTTACAAATGAACAGATTTAAACAGACGAGCAACAGATGCAGTATTTAGGAGAGATGTTAACGTAAAGCCAACACGAAAGATTATCTGAAGTCACCTGTTGCCTTAGCAACTTGAAATTAAAAAGGGTTGTAAAACTTCGAGTAATTATCACGCTCCGTCCAAAGAATTGAGATTTAAAGTACATAATAATATCTCCACTCTCCAGATAAATTAGGTTTTTAGTCTCCGTGCACTAAGGAGTGTGAGTTCTTTCCTTATAAGCAATGTTTGAAACGGAGATGAAACAATTTCAAAAGATTCAAATTGCGAATTTGATATTGATGATGGCCATGGAATTTGACCTGATTACAATCAACACCAATTCAATAGCATTGTAATGGGTTGATGGATCTGTAACATCTCGCTCTTCATTAACTCGGTGAGGAGTATTTTTCAGGATATAAAATATAAAACGATGTCTGTAAGTCACTCCAATAAAGTGGATAAATACATTACCAAATTATGTTATATTATTCAAATGTAATAATTATAATGTTTTTAGAGGATTTCTCGACCATCTTAGATATTTCCCAATGCATTCAGTATCCTATTTCTATTGATTTCTCAGGCGTTAGCTCAGAAAGCAAATCCTGTAATATGTTGATCCAAAACTGTATAAACACCACAAAGGGGCTTAAGAAACACATCAGATCATGATGATATTATAACTCCACATCCTTTGATGCAAGTGGTATTCAAGAACAATGCTCACATTCCAGTACAATAGCCTGCTGAGACACGTAATTTAAAACACATCGCTCGTAGAGATTAACTATTCGAAGAGCTTGAGGAGTAGTACTAGGAAAAATGGAAGAGCCTGCCAATGCCTCCCTCGAGACATCGTCTTATCTCAGAGACATTATCTCGAGACATCATCTTATCTCAGAATTCAGTCCGCACCAAGAAGGATACAAAGAGAATCATACGACGCTAATTTACTCAAAATCATTATTTAGAATCTTCGGTACTGACTAACGAACAAGAAATTCCTTTGATGTTATTAGGTATAACGTGTTATTAGGTATCACGTAGCCTTAGCACTTAGTATTACCCACGAGGTATTGAATAAACTATTCTAATGATGATAAACATTCCAAAGCAGAATGTGTAATATCAAGTTGGTTGATGTACACAGTTACACACGAACTTACTTTTCAGAGAAAACCACTAACCTTCCAAGTAAATGGTTACCCCATTACATACGAGTACAAATTACCTTTATGGGGGTATATTTATTCAATATCTTTATCATCTGGTCTACACTCGAAACAAGCTCCATTTAGAAAGTCCACTACACACATAACAGCCATTCTACGACTACTTAAAGTCCACACTTAAAGTCCTCGGTAACCTTTGTACTCGTACAGATGTCACTCGTTCAGTAAACTCTCTATAGCATCTCTCGATTGTTAGAGTTTCATCACTCTTCATATCCTACATTATAGGCGTTATAAAGGAGAGAGAAGCCTAGCAAGAAGCGCAGCTTTAGAAGAATCACCCGCCGTGAAGATATCTTACGAGAGGTATGATACAGTTCATTCTTTATCATACATCAACATTAAACATGAAATTAAGCTCAAAGCAAGGACTAAAAACCCAAAATCCAACCGATTTAAAACGTCTGTCAGAATAAGGCTTCCTGATGTACCCAACCCATTTAATGCATCTCAGATCTTGTAGTTGTCTTCACAGCTGGAGAGAGAGAGAGTTTGGAGAGAGAGAGAGTTTGATGAATCCTCGCACATACCGACCATGTCAGCTGTCATAGGAAGCACACTAAAGTTCTCAAATTACACTTTTTAAATACGAGAGAAGTGTTTGAATATTATATTCAGAATATTACATCTTTATATATATTCAGTAGTCGGCGTTCAGACCACATAATATTCATGTTATGCGGGGTATTTATTTGTGTGTCATCTATTGCAGGGGTATCTGATAAACAGTAAACACTTTGTCTTTAAATAAGCGTATCATTGTGTCTTTGCTTTAGGTTGCAAGCAGAACATCGCATTAAATCCTGCAGACGGCGGTGCTCTAACATGTCACTTTTAAAATAAGTTTAAGTTAGCTGGATTTTACGATGATAAACGCTTTGTGGGCAAGTAGAGGCTGGTAAGATAGACTAAACAACACTGTGGCGAGGTTGATATGCTTCAAGATGAGGCAAAAAGCTTTCAGGTCATCGAATATCGTGTTTTCAAGATGAAGTGGGTTTGAACATAAAACATTGGTTTTTATCGCTTTGAATTGATGCAAAGTACCAATCATGAAAGTTATTTTAAACTGTAAAGTTGAGGGCATTTACAAAATTTAAGTTGACCTGATATTTGGATAAGCCCTGGATAATCATAATCTATTTATAAGTTTTCTAGAATATACCATTTTATTTTGCAATTTTAATTTAACTACCACTTTATTGGAAAGTTGGAAGTAAAGACTGAAACATTTATATTTTTACCATTTTGAAAAAGCATAATAACATTCACCCTGGTCTTCAGGTCTTGGTCATGTATTTGGTCAAAAGTTTGAAAATATTTAGCGGATAACAAAAAAGAGATCCACATTGACTCCTACCTGATAGTGTCCCTAGAGAGCAGGTGGTCGTCAATATCATCTCTCATCATATCCTCCTCTCTAACGACAGCATTACTCTCATCTACCACAGCTGGTGTTACTGGCCCTCCTGGGGCTGGACGTCTACTTTTCTTCTTTGCCATGCCTTGTGGTTATGTTTTAAGATTAGAGGTGGCTTTTAGAGCATTTTCTTGCAATTTACAAGTTGAGTTTCGAATTTATTATTTTATAGTGATTGAAAGAGATTTGAAGTTTGGAGATAAGTATGCCTTTTACTGAGCACTAGAGAGCTAATTTTATAAACAGATACTTTAAATAACTTAGACACTCAAACACTGTTATTATAAAATTGAATTATAAATAAATCATAAGTTATAAAGTATGATGATGGGCTACATCCAGAAGTAAAGTTCAAAAATTCAAGTTGCGTATAATCTTTATCATCTAATTAAAGTAACATGCGCAGCATTCCTTATCTTGTGTAATATGCACGTGCGCTGCTTAAAGCGTTTCAATGATCAAGTTAACTTCATTTAAGGGGGCATACCCCAAAACAGTGGTTTGTGCCGTCCAAACCAAATGACCTCATAGGCAGTTCAGTGACCTTCTAGCGCACCGTTTCCACACCAAAAAAAATTATTTTGAGAATACCCATTTTTGTAATCGAGCATTTCCTGGTTAAGAGTGCAATTTTCGGAAAAAATTATTTTGTGGTTGAGACGCTATAAGTTAATCATTTCTTGCGGTATCGGGTTGAAATTTTGCTCGCCGTTTATTCACATCTATGTCAAGGTGTGTGTAAAATCTTGATATCGTATCTAAAAAGGCTGGTGTGTTATGAATTTTTAAAGTCAAAAAGCTAAAATTGTCCTTTTCAGGCTTATTTTAACAAAAAGTCAGTCAGGGAAGATCGGATTATTTGATGCTTGACATCAAATTGTTCTCTGAATTCTGGCGCAGTTTTTGATGCCCTCAAAAATGTTTTTACTCATTCACCTTCTGATCTATTGGACCTCAAAGCCAAACAACAAATTTAGGCACATTTTTCGTTTTTAATATTTACTGATTTTTCTAAAATTTTGATAGGAATGTGCTAGTGACTTTTTGAAGGGTGCAAAATAACCGCAACTAGCACATTTATATATGAGTTATGAACAACAAAACACCCTAAAATGCTTCCCTTTGAAGTTATGGGAGAAAATGTGATTTTTTGGCTTTGCAGATAAAAAATCACATTTTCTCCCATAACTTCAAAGGGAAGCATTCTAGGGTGTTTTGTTGTTCATAACTCATGTATATAAATGTGCTAGTTGCGGTTATTTTGCACCCTTCAAAAAGTCACTAGCACATTCCTATCAAAATTTTAGAAAAATCAGTAAATATTAAAAACGAAAAATGTGCCTAAATTTGTTGTTTGGCTTTGAGGTCCAATAGATCAGAAGGTGAATGAGTAAAAACATTTTTGAGGGCATCAAAAACTGCGCCAGAATTCAGAGAACAATTTGATGTCAAGCATCAAATAATCCGATCTTCCCTGACTGACTTTTTGGTAAAATAAGCCTGAAAAGGACAATTTTAGCTTTTTGACTTTAAAAATTCATAACACACCAGCCTTTTTAGATACGATATCAAGATTTTACACACACCTTGACATAGATGTGAATAAACGGCGAGCAAAATTTCAACCCGATACCGCAAGAAATGATTAACTTATAGCGTCTTAACCACAAAATAATTTTTTCCGAAAATTGCACTCTTAACCAGGAAATGCTCGATTACAAAAATGGGAATTCTCAAAATAATTTTTTTCAGTGTGGAAACGGTGCGCTAGAAGGTCCCTGAACTGCCTATGAGGTCATTAGGTCTGGACAGATTTGGGGTATGCCCCCTTAAAGTTACTTACAGTTGATTCGATCAATTGTCTAAAATATTTGGAGAATCCCAAAAAACTACAAAAACTATGCTATTAATGATAAGCAACATGCATGTGCAGTCGTTCAAACTAACTAAGCAATGATTGTCCTCTTTTTGTCAAAAACCTCATGAAATTTAGCCTTATCCATAAAACTGTGAAATGACCAGTGTGCCATGATTAATAAGAAATCTGCTGAAGGATCATGGCACTCTGTCATATCAAATAACTTTCAAAAGCGTTTATAATTAAAACCATCAAATGTGATAATCTTAAATAGTTAAACTGAGTAGTATAGAAAATATAGTTTCGCAAGTTACAGTTATTACTGGTAATTACTGGTAATTACTGGCAATTATACCACACTAATTACAGTAATTACCACACTCGTGATAAAGCTTTGAATCCATCTAGCTGCTTCTCAACCATATAAAATCAATACTTTAATGTCAGTAAGAAGGTATTTCTAGATAATAAGAGGTTGTAAAACTGTATACATCAGCTGATTTTAGACAGTATAGATCAAATAAGGGGCACGTGGTTATAATAAATACTGCAATACTCTCTAAGAAAATAAAAGTAATAAAACTCCATGGGTCTGGCTGTCTATAAAATGAATTAGCTACTTAAATAATTAAAGCGTGTTCAGTGTTCACTAATTGATTAATTACCCAGTGCAGTCAACAGGTCGAGACCGAGATATCACATATCCCATTTGAAGGAAACGTGGATAATGCGTTTACAAATTCCGTTCAAATCAAAGAACGATTCATTCTAAGTTTCCATGGATATGTATTTAACAATGATTGCCGAAAACAAATTTGCAGTCAAAATAAGATCTAGTACTAACAAAATGAGCACCACAGCACTATAATAAACAACCTGTAAACACTGAACACTTAATTAACTAATTATCCCTAGTTAATTGCCCCTCATGTCAGAGACCAAACTGTCATCCTACCATCAAAAGTACTAATAGGTTTAATCTGACTACCGTTACCATGGTTACGATACGCTATCTCATCCATGTGATTCCTCTCCAGATGATTATACACATTCACATAATTCTTAAAAATCCTCTGACAATACGTGCACTTGTGAGCCAGAGTCTTAGCTCCGGAGGTGTTAGAGTTGTTGTTGTTCCGTGACGTCACCTCATTCTGCCAGGTGGAGTGCTGTTCCGAGGTGGGGTGCTCCACCACGCTGCTGGTAGATGCTGGTCGGTAATGTTCTCCTCCGTTGGGTTGGTTCCGGTAGTGTTGCTGAGTGTAGGGAGACGGATGATCAAACCTCATCCGCTTGTTGGAAGTGTACCCGTTATTATAGTGGGGCAGGGTTTGGGAGAAGGCCCGGTGAGGGGCCCGGTTCCCGCTGTTCACTCTGCTCCCCTGGGTAAATTGCTGGTTGTTGTTGTTGTTGTTGTTGTTGTTAGCTCCGGGACCGTGGTTTCTCCGCATGTTCTCGTTTTGGTGGGGTCTGTACGGCGGGTTTTGTTTGTAAGCAGGAGGAGGGTAAGCTCCAGACCGGCTTACAGGGGGACTGATGCTGTTCCTGGAGCTGTTACTTTGTCTGGAGCTGTTATGGAGGTGAGGACGGGAGTTAATAAAGTCCCTGTACTGGAGGGATCCTGGTGACCTCAGGGTAGGTCTGGAACCATGTCCGTTGAGGATAGGGTGTCGGGATGGCGCTGTTTTGGGGGTTGGGAGGAGTGGGCCGGGGGCTGAACCGGGGCCTCGTAGAAACTGGGCGATTAGACCAGCTGTTTTAGCTGCTGCTTCTGGGCTTGTGATTTGAGCTGCCTTCTTGATACTGCCTGATGAAACAGAACTCTCACTCTCATTTCTTGTTCGATCAGGAGTCTTCTTGATATCTAAACGGATGTCAGTTTCAGGGTTGTTAAGAGGAGCAGGACGAGGTAGCAAGGGATCAGTATCCTTCTGTGGTGGCTTATTTCGGCTACAATCCATCTCGTGGCTCTTGTGAAGCAGTTCGTTTAGTAAGAACCTTGCTTTGTTTATCTCATGAGAGCTGCTAGAGCTGGTAGAGCTGGTGGAATCTTGTGGTAGAGGTTCCGGTTTGGGTTTGACAACAGCTTCGTGTGCAGTTGGAGGTGTTGGTGTGGTGGGCGGGTGCATTGTTGGTACAGTAGTTGTGGGGTCTTTTTGCTGAGTAGTATTTAGATTCACATTGCTCTGACCCGCACTCGTATTTACGCTTGTCTCAACATTTTCACTGCCATCCAACTTAAACGGAACCCCAACAGACTTGTGATAAGACCTAATGTGACTCCATGCAGACTTGTAGTTCTGATAAGTTGTAGAACAAAAGGGGCAACCCCAATGATGTGACACTGAGTTTTGAGACACAACCTCCCCACCCTCTTTCTGAGAATCATTCTCAGAATGGTTGTTGCTGTCGTAGCTACTCAGATCAAGGTCCTTGAGGTGAGGAGCTTCTCTGCACATCAGGAAGTATCCTTCAGTCCTCATGTGCTCTTGAAGCTGTTCTATGATCTTGTAAGGAGCGCCACACATGAGGCAGATGAACATGTCGTATTTACCATTTTCTTTGATTGTGTGCTCAAGGAAGTGTAGGTTAATGTGGTCGTTTAGAGATAAGACTTCAGAACATAGCAGACATTCCACTAGCAGCTCCTCAAATACTCGCTCAAAACCTTGTGTTTTAGGATGAAAACACTTTTGGAGTTTCAAGTGAGCTTTCATGCTTTTCTTTGAGCAGAAATCATAGTGGCAACTGAAACAGCGGTACCAATGTTTCCTCACATGATACTTGAAGCTCTCCTTGTCTGCGAACAACTTGTTGCAAGCATGACACTTCCTCTGGTTGAAGCAAACCAGGGGCTTCCCACAAGAACTCAAATCTCCAGAGGCATCCGGAGTAGAAGCTCTAGTGTTGCACTCATGACCAGCCTTCTGGTGTTTTGTTTTGTAGTCCAATCCACAGTCCATGCACCGGTAACTGCCCGGTTTTTCGTAATCCTCTTCGTGAAGCCAGCGTTCGGAATACGAGCCGAATTTTACACAACATACCATGCAGGAGAATTCCTCTGAATTTGTGCAACTTGTGTTCTTATCAACCCTAACTTTTATGTTTATATTGTTGTCATTCTGCTCTAGATGCTCGTAAGCCTCGTGAAAGTTCAGCTTCTCAATTGTACCAAAGCTCATGCTGCAAACCTTACAGTTCACCGAAGGAGCTTCAACCCTGATGGGTGACTTCAACTGGTTTGAATCCTGCTGCGGTGCCACAAATGAAGAAACACTATCACTGCACTCTATTCCGTGAACAGTTCTCTCATGCTGGACCTTCGGGGGAGTGGACATAAACTTAGCCTCACATTTGGAACATGAAATGGTCTGATTCCCTGTTGCATGACCGACTTTGTCTACGTGGTAGATAAGCTCTTCAGCAGTTTGGAAGCTAAGGAGACAGTTTGTAAACACACACGGAATCTTGAAGATGTTTTTCTTGTGTTTGTACTCGTGATTACGTTTGGATTTTAGGGAGAGGAAGGAGGATCTGCAGTAGGTGCAGTGGAAGTCAGCTGTAGCAGAGTGAGCTCCGTTGGGGACCTGGCTCCTCCCGTTGTTAGTAGCTGATGCAGTTAACTGCAGTTCGTTCTCGAAGTCAGTTTTATGAGCAGTGTAGTAGTGGACAACATAGCCCTTCTGGTTTGGGAACTCCTCGTGGCAGATCTCGCAGAAGTGCTTCAGGGCCTGGTTGTGGATTTCATAGTGCCGTCTCTTAGATTTAGGAGTTATAACTCTCAAGCAAATCTCACATTTCTCATGACTTGGATCGGTTATAATCTGGGTGGGGTCATTAAAACCAACACGTGGAACATGAACCTTCATGTGTGTGTGAAGGGTTCCTATCTTATCAAACGTGTTACCACAGACAGTGCACTTGAATATCAGAGAGTTTTCCCCCTCAGCGGAGATGTCCAGGTGACTGATAACAGCGGTGGAACTGTGCTCCAAGACGTGGAACTTGTAGTGGAGGTAACAGTGAGCAACAGAATGGACCTTCTCCTGACATATCACACACTCAAACAAAGGGTTGAACATGGACTTCCAGTCAACGGTCACGTCTCTGAAGGTATAGTTGGGGTGGGTGGACATGTGCGCACAGATGGTGCTCCAGGCCAGGAACTGTTTCTTGCAGATGTTACAAGTTTTAACCTCCTCCACTGGAGCGTCTCCGTTGGTGAACATGGAGCTGGCGGTGGTGTCAGCTTCGTTAACAGAAGTACTGAGCGGCTGTGATGATTCATCCATTAGACCATCTAATTTGTCGTCATCAACGTAGAAGATAGCATCTGCAGGGATAATGTCGGTGTTGTTGTGCAGAGGTAGAGGAACTGAAACTTCCATGCAATCAGTCGTCTCACTAGGGGTCGAATAATCATTACTTAGCAGACTCTCTTCCTTTTCCACTACTTGTTCCTCTTCCTCTTCTTCCTCTTCTACTTCTTCTTCTTCTTCTGAAACCGATAAAGTTTCAGCAGGGTCATTTGTGTGTGACTTGATATGTCCAATGTACTGAGAGCGTTTCGTGAAGAGCTCATCACAAATATCACATTCAAACACTTTCTTGATGATGGTCTTTTTAGCAACCTTCCTACTTTTCAGTACTGACAATGGAATATCATCGTTAGCCCTTTCTTCCCTCACAAAGTCTGAGCTATCTTTCCTCATTTCCATACTCTGATTCTTCTCTGGAGGATCATGTTTCTCAAGGATTCCAATAAGACTTCCTTTTTCAGGTTTTTCTGTTCCTTTTATTTTGCCCTCAGCATGTTGCTGCATGTGGAACGCAAGAATTCTTTTGCTTCCAAAACGGATGTCACAAGTCTTACATTTGAAGAGCTTTGCAGCGGTTTTCCTGGCCCGGATTATTCCTGATGGTTCGTGAGAAGGAGGGGATTTCAGTACACCACGTGGTTTTACTGGCGTGGGTACAGTTTTTAATACAGATTCTGTAGGTTTCGCCTCCTCTATAGGTGTTTCTTTGTGAACATCTTCATCGCGGCTTTTCTTCAAGTTTGAAGAAATTTCTAATACTTTCTTCAGTGACGAAAGAGAATTTTTCTTTGGCTCGATAGTTTTTGTACTGCTTAAATCGAAATGGGCGGCAGCATTATGGGCTTTCAAACCAAGCTCCTGAGCAAACGTTTTATCACACTCATTACACTTGAACAACTTCACGGCTGATTTCCTGGCTTTCCCGACCTTAACACGAGCCTTTTCTTCATTCTGGTGGACCATGTTGATGTGAGACTTCAGGAGAAATTCAGATATAAAACCCAAATCACATTTGATACACTTGAAGTTCAGAGGTGGGCTCTTGATAGGCTCCTTGGTTGGTGTCTTAGCTTCAACTTCGGCAGCCGGGACAATACCATCAGGTATAGGCTTGTTCTTACAAAAACGGAAATGAGCACACAATGCCCTGTAAGATTTAAACTTTTTAGTACATCTAGCACAGATCTTTGAACCAGGGACAGGTTCAGTAGCTTCAACTGGTTTCTCTTTAACAGGACTGGACAGCGCAGTGGCTTTCAAGATGGTTGACAGCGGTATTCTGACCTTGACTGGTGAGTAGTCTTTAACAGGAGATTCATCGGATGTTTGGCTAACCTCTTCGACCTCTGGTGGAAGTACGTATGGGGGTGGAATTGTTTTGTACACGAAATGGAATCCCATGTGAGAGTACAGCTCTAAATCACTTTCGCATGTTTTTGAGCACTTGAGGCAGTGAAACTCTTCATTTCTCGCTTCAAAAGGAAAATCGTTGAAGTGTTCAGCATGTCTGGGAATACTGAGTATCCGCCGAGACTGCTTAGTGATTGGATGGTTTTCCTTCATTAGATGCTCCTGAAAGTCGTTGGCATCCAAGAATTTCTTCCCGCAAATTTCACAACAACACTTTGCTTTGTCAAGCAAGAAGTGGGAATCTCGATGGGTTTGAGCTTCATCGAGACAAACAAAGTTCTCTTTGCACGTATCACACTCATGTAGAGCCTGGTGTAATACCATCTTATCAGAAGAAGTAAATTTTATATCACAGTACTTGCATTTGTGGTGAACCACCTCCATCTCATCGTCATTCTCATGAGCAGTCACGTGTGCAATGAACGTAGACTTGGTGCTAAACTCAGAACAGCACATTTTACATGTGAACACCTCGTCTTTTGGCGCTCGTTTCAGCTTTCTCTTTCTGTTGATCTGCGCACTTTCCTGACCCTTCTCGCCCTTCTTCTTAAAGTGAACTGGGAGGTGGTTGTTAAGTGATTCTAAAGAGTTGTACTGTCTCCCACACACGGAGCACCAGAGTACTTGAGGGTCCAGGGTGCAGTAAGAGTGCTCCACTGGTACATACTTCGACTTAGTGTCATGCTTCATCAGGCACACCATACTAGGGTGGAATGTGATAGCATCAGGTCCGTTGAGCACTGAATTGGGCACTGTTCCTCTCACCACATTGCTGATGTCAGCGTACATGTGATCTATTGGAATGAAGCCAAGTTTCTCATTCCCCTCACTGATACCAATAACAGAGTCTAGCACATAGTCCTGTGGGTCGGTGTAGTCAGGGTTACGGTGGGGTCGTCCTTCTACCCACTGCTTCACATTCAGAACCTCACGTGTCTTCTCCGTAGGTTGTGTATTTGAACATGGTCTCTTTCTAAATACTTTGCCTTTCATGAGAGGGGTCCGGGCTGGTTTCTTGTTCATGTACAGACAGTGGGAGAGCAGCAAATGCATTTTTAAGTCAGTGGAATTAGTGTAGGTCTTCTCGCAGACCCTGCATCTGACTGGTTTGGAGGTGGAAGATGTTCGGGATGTTCGGGATGTCCTCTCCACAACCTCTAGACCAGCTTTACTTTTCAGAGCAGGGATCACTTTGAGGTTGGTCCCGTGGCAGGGGAACCCGTTGAGCTTCCGGCAGGCCACTGTGACGTCACGTTCACATTGGTACTCACACAACCAGTATTGCATGTGTTGACCTGAAACATTTGGTTACTTATTTTAGGTTACTTACGTTTGGTTACTAACATTTGGTTACTAACGTTTGGTAAATATTCATGTCTAGTCAGCTAAAATCAGTTTAGTGTAACATAGACCATTTCACGGTTGAAAACTGTCAACCAGCAAAGAAACTGGTCATGAAAGAAAAGTTGAACAATTGCAATTGTACTTAGTTAAACACGACTATCGTGGTGTTAAAACCAACAAAGAAATAATCAAAAGTTATAAAATAAATCTAAATTCCCTAATTTGACTGACCAGTCTGATGATTGTAATTGAGAGTAATTACCGGACCGGCCATGCTCATAACTCCTCTCAGACTCTCCTGATGAACATTACTCGGCAGGTGGCAAACCTTCACAGACCTGTTAAAAGTGTGTTAAAAGCGTGTTAAAAGCGTGGGATTCAAATGTGTCGGATGAGATAATTTTTATAATATAAAAATGTATTTTTGGGCTGCCTACTATCTACACCACTTAGTTTAAATTATAGAATAGAGTGAATTTGGCCAGCAATGGAAAAATACAGCTCTAACTTTTAATCGATACAGATTCGAAAATATTTCAAGATTAATAATTTAAACAGATTTACCGTTTCAGATGATCCAAAAGGACGGAGAAAGAAGACTCGGAAAAGAGAGGAGATAGCGGGGTAACAGGGTCTTCTCCCCCCGTAAGTTGTATCTCATCTGTATCATGTGTGTACAAGGAGGTGGAGCAACTGTTACAGGTTAGGGGCTCTAGTTTTACCTGAAATAAGGAACCGTTACATGTTAGGGGCTGTAGTTTTACCTGAAATAATACAGGGTGGCCCATGTTAGTCTACCCATCCTTATCTCTTAAAATTGTTACAGGTCGCTGAGATCTTGCTAATTATTTTAAAAACAAAAAGTGGCATAACTTATGTTCTGATAAATATTTTTTCTTCTAAATTTCACAGAATGTTAATAACAAGTAGATGAACCTTTGTGGCAAGTTTTGTGTGATTGAGAGCTTCACTGAGCTTATTTGACCAATTAAGCCCCTGAGCGAGCTAGCTTGAATTTCTCACCCAGAACTGTTTACATTGGTTAATAGAAACCACCAAAAAAAATCCTGGGTAAAAAAATTAAAAAACCACCGATTTATTTATGTTTTACCAATTCTATTCACCACGATGCATCGCACATTCCATTCTCTACACTGCTGTACAGTGTACATCCTATATTTTAACTGCAGATAAGGACTATCACAGATGATCCTTCCTGCTTGTTTATATCGTTCTGCTCACTTGCCTTAACAAATTTAAAATTATAGCTGGATGATTAGCCTACAATTTTATCGATTTTACAAACGGTGGTTTGAAATAGGTTTACAGCAGGTCAGCCGATTCCCATGAGATGAGTAAATAAACTTGAAAAGAAAACAAACGATAACGTAGATTTCCGGTCGATAATCCATAATCTTATGAATTCTCATGGGAATTTTACGATAGCAGGGATAGATTTCCCCCTTAAAAGTCGCAACAATTTATTAACCATTAACGATCATCTCATCATGCCTCTACTAACTCTCCAGCAACGGATATTTATTGTTTCTGAATCCAAGGATACCCCCTTCGCAGCTCTTATCCAACTGTTCATAGCGAAATTCCCTGGAATCACTCCCCCTACTAGGAAAGCAGTCTACAACCTTAAGAAGAAATTTACAGAACATGGAGTTGTCACCAACCGACAAAAGGATGCATCTGGTCCACCATCTACGGGAGTGACCTTTGAGAACACTGTGGCTGTAGTAGGATCTGTGGCAGACCACCCCAGGCAATCGACCAGAAGACGTTCGGCCAATCTTGGCATACCTAGGACGACTTTGCAACGCATTCTGAGGACTGAACTGAAACTGTACCCTTATCGCTGGACAGTTCACCACACTCTGCAGCTTCAGGATCCACCAGTTAGAGTACGCTTTGCTGACTGGTTGCTTCTGAAAGATTCCACAAACGAGGACTTTATCGGAAACATCTGGTGGACCGACGAAGCCAAGTTCTGCCTCCACGGTTCCGTCAACAGCCACAACGCAATACACTGGGGCAGCCAGAGACCTGACAGCGTGCAGCAGAGACCTACTCAGAACTCTCCAAAGCTGAACGTCTGGTGTGCGGTCTCTTCTCACGGAATCATCGGACCATACTTCTTCAAGGATGCAGCTGGTGCCACTGTAACTGTGAACGGAGATCGCTACCTACAGATGTTGCAGAGCTTCTTCATACCAGAACTCTTCAACTTCTGTGCACACCACGACCTGGATCCGTCTCTCATGAGCTTTATGCAGGACGGGGCGAGAGTGCACATCCCCAACCGCATTATTGATTACCTTGGTGACCAGTTTGGGAGCATGACGATCGGAGAGAAACTTGCTCAACACTGGCCAGCCCGCTCTCCTGACCTCACTCCTTGCGACTTCTTCCTGTGGGGATGGTTGAAGGATAAGGTCTACGAGAGTCTACCCATCCCCAACCTTGCTGCTTTAGAAGTTGTCATTCGTGACAACTTGCGGAACATCCCCATCACTCACTGCCAGAACTCCTGTTTATCAGTAGCCAAGAGGATGGACGTCCTGAAGAGCCGAGGCGGTGGTCACATTGAGCACCTTCTCTAAACGGTGATTTTAATCGCCAACACAAACGGTGATTTTAATCGCCAACACAAACGGTGATTTTAATCGCCAACACAAACGGTGATTTTAATCGCCAACACGGCGGGCAATGGATGAACCTTCTCGTGGTGCCTGCCGAGAAACGCAATTCAATTGATTTCAGTATCGATAAAATTGTAGGCTAATCATCCAGCTATAATTTTAAATTTGTTAAGGCAAGTGAGCAGAACGATATAAACAAGCAGGAAGGATCATCTGTGATAGTCCTTATCTGCAGTTAAAATATAGGATGTACACTGTACAGCAGTGTAGAGAATGGAATGTGCGATGCATCGTGGTGAATAGAATTGGTAAAACATAAATAAATCGGTGGTTTTTTAATTTTTTTACCCAGGATTTTTTTTGGTGGTTTCTATTAACCAATGTAAACAGTTCTGGGTGAGAAATTAACGCTAGCGCACTCAGGAGCTTATTTTGCCAGACAAGCTCAGACTCACACAAAACTTAGCACGAAGTTGTGTCTAATTATGATTGACATTCTCTAAAAATTTGAAGCAAAAATATTAATCAGAACGTAAGTTATGGCGCTTTTCCATTCTGAAATAAAATAATTAGCAAGATCTCAGCGACCTGTAACAATTTTAAGAGATAAGGATGGGTAGACTATCATGGGCCGGTTTGAATTTCTTAATTCATTTAAAAGTCTTTCATAATATAATAATATTAGTTTAATTAAAAGTCGTTAATACTACGACTCATAAAAAACCAATGATTATCCAGGGTAAGATATTTCTAACTGCCAAAATTACATTAGCCATTTATAAGACCAGAGTACAGAGTATAACAGACGACCGTTATTATAAATTACAGACTGGAGATAAGTTGGGTTTGTTTCCAGATACTAAATCTTTACGGGTAAATTATTGGTCATCATTTCATTTCGTCAGAACTCTGTTAGAGAATATTTTATGGTGATACCAGGAACCCGATAGGCAAATTTGCTGTTGAGAAGCCTTCGCAATATTGTTCAAGTGTGAAATTGATATGATCTTTGAGTAGCAGAATAGCACAGCCTTAATTCCGTCATACCATATGCATAGGGAGCATATAATTAAGAATACGCCCTGCCGCTCAGCCAACTCAGCAGCAGATTTGGGATCGTGCTTAGACCAATTAAACACTGCCTAGATGTTCATGTGAAAAACTTGGTCTTCAGAATATCGCAGGACGGTTTTTGGTTCCGAATTCGTGTTGATGCTAAAATAAATCATGTGATTCGCCCTGGTGTCCACCCTTTTGGGATGTTAACTCCCTGTGTCCTACGCCCTAGTGTCCTATACCCGATTTAAACCTTCAACAACTTTAACTCTTTGTTTGGTTTAAAAACTCTATACTATGTCGACGTACAGTAATAGAACAGTTTATGGCATTGCAAATGTTAATGCAAGATACGCTTGGGCAGGATACTTTCTGTTTGTCATAGCTTCATCTTTGATAGGAGACACGGTCTTTCTCATAGCATCTGTAAAGTACAAGGCCTTCAAGCTTCATAGAGTTATAGTCGTCATCATTCAGCACATAGCAGTCTGTGACCTGATGGTATCTTTAATGGACATATTACCGAGGCTAGTTTCTCTGATTGCTGATGAATGGGTGTTTGGTGACTTCCTGTGCTACCTGAACCCTTGTGCAAAATACTATTTCAATTCGGCTAGCTTGCTTCTCATCTGTACTATGACTATCTGCAAGCTGCTACTACTAAAATCGCCCCTCCATTTTGGGACAACAACAGTTGCCATGTTGGCTTGCAGCTTTGACCTCACCTATCACAGCACTTCTAGTTGACTGGAAAGATATCTCTTTGTCGTACAGAGATTATGCATGTGAATTTTATTTCTCTTTGGAAATTTGGCGTTGGCTTAAACCCGTTCTTGGAACACCGCTTATAGTTTCTCCCACTTGTGTGGTTGTGGCCACCACTGTTTGTTTGTTGGTGATAGCTCGGAAAGTTGCCCGTCGATACAGAGAAAGCTTGAAATGGCAAGGAATCACTACAACAGCACTAACAGCAATAATATACTGCATCTCTATCCTGCCAACGGCTACGTACGGTGCTCGAGTGTTTTTGGACAGATTCAAATTGGGAAGTGTTTTCTATACCCACCTCTTATATATCTATAGACTCGGAGTCTTTAAACACTATCAGTAACTTTTATATCTATAGTCTGACCGTGTCTAGCTTTAGAGCATTTGTTTGGTCGAGAATGCATCTATGTGCTATCAGTTCTTCACTAACATTGGAGCGTCTACTAGCCATGGTAGACGCTCCAATGGATAAATTCAACATATTATTGCTGATAACTTTTCTGTCTTATTTGCTATATTATCATGATTAAATATTTGTGGTTAATTATTCGAAAATTTTCATTATGAATGAACTCATAAACTTTTGTAGTAAATGATTTATCTATTTTTAAAATACAAGTTTTAAAATGCCGCTTTCCTTCTAATAAAATTTTATGAAATGAAAAAGTATCAAACTTATTCATAGGTCAAGTCCAGCTGAAGTCAGTGTAGGAATATCTAAACATGATGTAAATTTTGAGGTATACTCAACAAAACGAGAATTGAGAATATGAGCGGCTGTAAACCTGGTCAAAAACCAATAAACATGCAAGTGAAGGTAATATGCCGAGTGTTATGTATTAAGTATTATGATACTGTTGATCGACTTCTTTGCAGTAAAAGCTTCATCAGAACTCAAATGATCAGTAATATCGAAGTGTTGAAAGAATTAAAACTGATTATGACATTCAACGTTTTCTATGCGGCCAATGAACAATTGGAAATTATCCAACCTCATCATGTACGTTCTTATACCTAGAAAAAACATATTTTTAGATGTTATGGCTTACTTTCCATTTTACTGTCGTTCAATTGTTGAATCAAAATCGTCCACTTGAAATTTCGCAAACAACACATGTTAAAACTACGTGATCATGAGCTTAGCAACAGAACAGTTTATGGAATTGAAAGTTTTGCTGTAAGAAATGCTTGGGCAGGATACTTTCTGTTTGTCATAGCCTCATCTTTGATAGGAGACACGGTCATTCTCATAGCATCTGTAAAATACAAGGCTTTCAAGCTTCATAGAGTTATAGTCGTCATCATTCAGCACATAGCACTTTGTGACCTGATGGTTTCTGTTACAGTTATCCTACCGAGGCTAGTTTCTCTGATTGCTGGTGAATGGGTGTTTGGTGACTTCCTGTGCTACCTGAATTGTCATTCGACATACTATTTTAACTCGGCAAGCGCTCTCCTTATCTCTGCTATGACTACCAGTAAGCTAATACTTCTGTTATATCCACTCCGAATTGGAACAACAACACCGAAGAGAGCTCATCTACTCTGTATTGCATGCTGGTTGGCAGCTTCGTCAATAAATATATCGAATTTACTTGTAAATTGGAGAGATGTATTATTTTCTTATAGAAGGTATATAATTGTGATTTCGCTTTCTCATCGGACATTTGGCTCTGGCTGCAACCCTTAATTGCACTGTTTATACTGTTTGTTCCACCTTGTGTGGTCATAACCACCACAGTTTGGTTGTTAGCCATAGCTCAGAAGGTTGTTCGTCGAGGTCGAGGAAGTCTTAAGTGGCAGGGGATCATGGCAACAGCTATAACAGCAATATGCTACTGTATCTCCATCCTACCAACGGCAGTCTACCGTCTTGGCATGCCAATCATGAAAGTCGAGGATAAGAGCAAAAGTATTTTCCATAACCAATTCTACAGAGTGGCAGTGACGGTCCTGACCCTGAACACCATCAGCAACTTCTACGTCTATAGCCTGACTGTGTCTAGCTTTAGAGCATTTGTTTGGTCGAGAATGCAAATTTGCTATCAGTTTTTTACCGAAATTGGAACATCAACTAGTTATGGTGAGAATATTGCTAACGACATACAGCTCAATATTTGAAGATTTTAGGATATAACTTTTACACAATTGCACATGTATCAACTTGGTTTATATCAGAATTCTACTCATCAGAAGGAAGAAGACCTGAGACAGAAGCAAACATGCGAACCTTTGATCAGAGTACTCAACAAGCCAACATTGGAACGACTACTAGTCACGGTTAGAAAATTTCTAACAAGATACATTACAATATTTAAGGATTTTAGAATAACTTTCAGATTATTTATATATGCATCAACTTATGTACACAGAGTTTTATAATCAGCATTCTACTTGAATCAGGAGAAAGAAGAACTGAAGCAGAAGCAAACACGCGAGATTTTGATGAAGGTACTCAACAAACCACAGATCACGTCGTCCTGTCCCAGACCTTTGTGCCCCAGCATGTTGAGCCCTAGGACGTTCTGCTTCAGTGCATTGTGCACCATGGACCCAAGTGACTTTAATTTTATGCACTTCATTTTTTGCAATCATGTTTTTTCAATAAGGCCTAATGAGATAATAATTATAATCTGTCCTGCATAGAAATGAATCGATGAAGCTTTTTCCGGACAAATGAACTCCTAGGTATTTAATGTATGATAGCAAATTTTTTAACAGGAATTACCGAAACAGTACAATCATTTCAACATTAATTACTAGGAACAATTAGTTTCACAGAGCCTGTAAAGGGTTTTATGTATGTATTTTTGTAAATAATTTGTTTTATTTTTAATGAAAATTTCATACTGCCATTTTAATACTTATAATATAATTCGTAGTAGCCCACCTGAATGATAAGGATGTATATTTTCGAAAAAACAATCATTGACAATAATAATTGACAAATGAGATCTTACCTCGAATGGCTCTAGTTTGAAATCCTTGTCTTGATATCTGATTGGAGGGTACACACAGTGCGTAGCTTTCTTGTAAAACTTTGAAAGCTCATCACAACGGCAAATCTCGTTGATATCGAATTTTTCTTTTTTTAAATCTGCATCTTCTTGGATAATCATCTTTCATTTCGCTGTGAGTACCCTAGAAATTATTGAGTGTATCATTGACACGTCTTGAAAGCATGGATTTGCAAAATCAATTGTGTGATTATACTTCTGCAAGGAAATGTTGCAAATTCTCAGATGATAGCAAATTAAATCTCAGAAAGAAGAACGACAACAATAATAAAGATTATAATTAGTTACATTATTTGTATTTTGATTATTACATACATGATAATATATATTTGAATTTAGACTTGAAATAAAACAAAGGTTGCATATTCAAATACGTCAATGTATTGTATAAAATCAATAGAAGGTGAAAATACTATAAATAGTTAAATCAATTCAATTTAACACGCCATTGTGAGTGTTTGAATTAGGCTTGACTGAAACACTGTGAAACAAAGAGGGACAACATTTTCTGATCGATCATTTCTGGTAAAAATACATAGGTTTCTTAGGAACAGGTTCCTCACTCAGCGTATCCTCAGTTACCTCTTGGTAGATATTTTTACTTTCTGGACCATAAGCCGGAGCAATCCAATACGGATCCTTCTCACAAATATCTGCGTATTTGAGCAAGACCTCTCTTGGATCTTCTTCTTCAGCTGGGGGACCGTGGGTATCCAATGCTATCTCTTTTGATTTAAACGCAGCTAAACTGCAACCTTTTGTCTTATGAGCATCCAAACCATATAGAGGTTTGTCTGGAGCAGCTGATCGAACAGGATCTTTCCTTGATTTGTCTTTTCTCCGTTTGGCATAAAGGAATCTCTGCTCTCTGTACATTGGCAGACTGTATGGGTTGATAACTTGCTGTTGGAGTCCAGTGGGAATTTCATCGTTTTTAACCTGCCTTCGGCGGGGCTTTGCTGCACATAAAAGTGCCCCACGTGAGCTAAGTCCTGGACTGTAGTACATCTTGACAATACCGTTGCTGCAGCCCACTATGATTTGATTCAACTTGGGATGCCACAATATTTTTGAAACACTCGATTCCCCAACAGAGAACCTGTAAACTTCGTCGAACGTGTTGGTGTCTAAAAATACAAGTTCCCCTGATCCCCGCTTGACTGAGGTACCCGTCATTACAACTTTCTCATCAGGACTGAACCAGCAGTCCGTTCCCACGAAAACATTGTCTAAATTATTTGCGGTATTCACAGGACTTTTCATATTTCGCAAGTCCCATAACTTAACTGTATCATCACCTGCGCCGCCTCTTGTTAAAAGTCGGTTTCCATCAATAGAAAATTTGATGCAACTTGTTTCTGTGGTTTTTACATGCGCAGTTTTATTTGAAAGTTTTGGTCGAATGAATGGTCCTTTAGTTGGATATAACGATAAGGCACCATCAATTGTAGCAACTGCAATCATTGAGGAATCTTTACTAAACACAGCATGGGTTGGACTGACTTTCTTACCATCTGAACCCCTGAGTTTAATAACCGTTTTCTGATTTTTAGTGACATTTATATCCCAAAATCTAACTGTACAATCTGAGGAGGATGTCATGAAGATGTTTCTATCCTTGGGATGCCAAACAGCATTATAAAGAGATGATACATGACCATTAGTTCTCCCCATATCAACAATGTATTGATCACCCTTTCTGCATTCATAAACTTGACTTCCATCTCTGTCCAGAACTTGAGCCTGGGGGCCACCACCAGACATTAGAAGCAAATCTCCAGTTATACTATACTCAATGCTTCTGATATGATAATTTTCCATGGGCTGAATTGTTCTGAAAGATTGGAATCTGGAGTCCATAGCATTGAAATCCCAAAACTTCACATCAAAGTCCTGACTCCCAGTAACCAATCTTGCACCAGCAGGGTCTAATGCCAGTCCTGATACAGCTTTGGAAGCATGGTTAAGTTTGATTTCATGAGATATTGGTAACAGCTCTTTTCCTATGGTATTAGCAGAATCATCATCATTATCTGAAAAATCGTCATCGGAATCAGATTCTTTTTCTTCACTGCTTCAATACTCGAATTTTCTGGCGCTGTCTCTTTGGCTGCTGTTTGCCCTGATTCAGTAATTTTTGCTGCAGGATTGGTTTTTTCAACTGTCGATACCTTTTTTTCTTTACTAGGAGTGGGCTTTTTCTTTGCCACTTTTCCAAATCCTGAAAAACCCATTATTTCAGACATTTTTGTATAATCATCGTCCTCTTCATCATCAACAACCTGATTGAAAACACTTATCTTCGTTTTTTCAACCTTCTTATTGAAATCGTTCATCATTTGATCAACATCAAATTTCTTGGCTTGTTTAGATGATGGCTTGCTATCATGTCCACTATTTGTAATTGAAACAGGACTACTGTCTGACCCTTTAATGTCCTTTATTACTCCAAACCCGGAAGAATTGCTTGATGATGAAGTTTTGTCAGGAAGCGAATTTGATAAGGATATTTTACCAAAACTGATTTTCTTCATTTTATGAAGCTGAGAGCATTAATGTACCTGAGATAAGTTAATTTATCAGTAGGCTGGGTAAAATTGTTACAGGCTATGTGATTGACTGCAGTGGATACAAGGATACATTTAGGTGGTAATTATTTTATTGAATACACAATAGTGGTGATCCTGAAATAATTTCAGTTAAAAAAAATCCAATTATTTGCAAATATTATAGGAATAATTTAGAAATGTTATGCTAGTGTAAAAATAAATCGAATTTGTAAGCAGATATTTGACTTTGAATTGTGGTCATATAGCATTATGCAGCAGATCACTTATCCCATTTAATTTATAGTTCTACACGAGATGACAAAAATTCAAAAGCATGCAGTTTCGTAATTTTATGATGAGTCTGAACTATTTCATATGAGCCCCTGCCTAATCTTTCCTTTATTTAACTGACGAGAATATGTAAGAATATACTGAATAGCATACTTGTTTACACAGGGCACTAAAGCACTGGGTCACTAATCCATCACATGGCACTGTCATAGAAGCAGCACTTTGCAATTGGTCGTTTCCATCAACATTCAACATGACATAGATTGCTGATATGAATGGATTGGCTCTATTTTTATATATATTATATATAATATATATATATTTCATGGCTGGACTTCTACACAATAAAAGAAAGCGGTTGTGATTAGATCTTCGAAAGTCTTTGCATCGTTTATTTACATCAATTCTGAGAAATTATATCATTAAAGTAACTACAACAAATACGAATCATATACAATTGAGAATAAATACAAACTAAAAGCAGTGGGAAAATCTGATGAACTGAAATTTAAAAAAGAAACTGAAAGCCGTTAAAAATGTACTCTTATCTTATCTCTTATCTAAATACTGATAACTGATTCTCGGAAAATCACTTAAAATCACAACGAAAACCTGTAAAATTTATACTTAAGTAAAAAATGTAATATGCACGTCTCTGGAATAATGGTATAACTAAATAAATGTATGTTAGGTATATTTTGATGTCGAAGCGTGTAATAAATGTTAGAATTTATTTATACATAAACAAGGTATAATATTCAGTATATTCTTACATACCCCATCCAGACTAATGACAAAATTCCAAAACTGCAAGCTTTTGCGTTATTTTAATTATCTCGTGTAGCTCAGTGATCTGCTCCAGTGTGATTTATTTGTTTTTCTGGCTTTGAATTTGGAATGGTTAGTTGTCACAGCTGGCAAATTTTTTTAGCTGATTGAATAATTGCTAATTTTAATTTCTGTACATGTTCTTTGGTACTATCACTGGATTCTAACACCAATGTTTTATTCAATAGTTCATAGAAGGAAATACACAAAGATTCAAAGACGCCCATTATTCAATCATGGAAGTAAAGGTTAGTTCAAGGATTTATGTGATTTACCTTTTTATTATATTGTAGTTATTTTGCCGTTAAATTGTCAACAATCTCGAGAAGTATTTGTGAGTTTGCTTTTAAACTGTCCATTATTATTATTAAATCTAAAATAGCTAATAATTTAATAAATTATTAACAGGCCCCTTAACGCGGGCAATAATATACGCTTTATAAATTATATAAACAAATTGCAGTCTATTTTTCCAATGTTGTTAAGTGTCTCTTTAGATCTGTTTTGGTGTTTTGTGGGAGTTCCCACATTTGTTGGTTGAGAATGCTCAACATAACATACATGATGCTTGACTGCTTTATTGACCCGGACAGGCACCGGGGGCAGACATCCCAACACCAGTGCGTTGGGACATAGTGTTGGTCTGCTTCAGGACGTGTTAGATCCTAGAGAAGCCGCCATCCCCTCTACTGCTTTAGCTCAGCGGCAGCATGAGCCCTGGTTTCCTGCCACATTGGTACCTCTGAAAGTACAGAAAAGTGGTGGATTTCGGGGTCCAGGATCCTCCCTCTTTAGTCTTTAATCTTTACGGTGGTATTATTTCTCTGAGATGTTTGCAGAGTCTTTATTTTATGATCTTTCTAGTCTAGTTTTAAACTGTCCAAAAAATACCGGTTACTATTATCTTCACTCTAATCATTTTTGTTCGCAGTGCACAAATAACAATGAATATGACGTCGCAATAGTTGGGGGAGGCATATCTGGGCTATATTGCACCCTGAAGTTATTGGAAAAGTCTGAGAGTCTTGAGGAGCTAGATATCAAGAAAATGATAATCTTGGAGAGATCTGTCAGATGGGTTGGTCGACTGGATACCGACATCATCACATTAAAGGCAACCGATGGAGAAACTGAAGTCGTCAAAGAAGAAGAAGGTGCCATGCGCTTCACTTATCCGAACAAGGAAGATCCAAAAAGCAAGTCTAACATGCCGCTTCTGGCAGCCCTCATCAAGACCTTCAGATGGAAGACCATGTATTTTCCTTTTTCATGACACCCCAGGATCAGTCAGGTGGACAAGGTTCTTCACTGCATGGTATGCTATGCAGAACCCCTCCGTGTTGAGGGACATGTTCAGTCTAGAAGGGGATGAGGAGTTTAAATCTCTGGATGAAATTGTTAAAGATATCTACCATAAACTCCTGGATCACAACAAAGGTAAACTTTTAGTCCAATTCCCAAAGATATGTGAGGTCATATGGAAACAAATGGACACCAAGCTTCTTCGAGAATATGAAAACCAAGATATACTGGGACTTCTTTAGGAACGAATTTACTTGGAAAGTGGGGATGCAAGAGACTCCTCTTAATCAGTTCTCGATGCAAGCTCTTAATGACAACAATGAACTATTCAGAAGGATGTCTCGATATGATGGTGGAAATGGTGGGTTACCTAGGTGAAGGGAATGCAGGGTGCATCATTCAACTTCTAATCTCGTTTGACCTCATCTGGGACAAAATCTACCAATTAAAGAATGGGTGGTCTTCCCTGGTCGAAAAGATGGTCGAAAAGGTAGATCGGAAAGATGAAGTAGTCATTGGTGTTTCAATGATTAGTGAAGAAACAGAATATTTCAAGCTAACTCTTAACCCGCAAAGGGCTACAAAGACAAAGAACAAGGACGTGAGAACAATATCGACGAAGCATGTGGTTATGGCTGTGCCACCAGAATCAGTTGAAGATATTACTTTCACTTTCAATGATACAACTCAGTGGCGTAACTTTGCCTGTTGGTGACCCCCCCCCCCCCCGCTCAGTGACGAAAAATGACTTACTTGTACTTGTACTTGATTAGGTCTCCTCAATCATTCGAGTGGCCTGCACCAATGAACTCCCGTTTGTGACGTATCATCTCCCTCCAAAGTTTGCGGTCACTAGCCATCTCGCTCGCTCCTTCTAGGTCTATGTCAGTGTTTCCTGTAAACGCTGCAGCATCTTCCAGCAAACATTTCCTCCAGTTCTTTCTTGGACGGCCCCTAGATCTTCTCCCATGCGCAGGGGTCCAGTTAAGCAGGTACTTAGGAAGCCTAGTGTCTGGCATTCTGGTGACATGGCCAAACCAACGCAGGCGGTTTGCTCCTATGAACGTCTCTACTGGATTTATCTTTGCACGCTCCAGCACTTCAGTGTTTCTAACCCGATCGAGCCATCTTATCCTAAGTATTCTCCTCAAGCAACGCTGATGGAACACCTCAAAGCGATGTAGCTGCTTTTTGGTTGTGTTCCAAACCTCACTACCATATAACAATATTGTCAAAACTGCTGCCTTATAAATCCTGATCTTTGTATAAGACTGGATGTTGCGGTTTTTCCATATATTACTCAGTTGATTGAAGGCTCCGGAAGCTTTCTGAATCCTAGCTGACAGCTCACGGTCGATAGTACCGTCGCTGGAGATAATTGTACCTAAGTACGTAAAGTCACTAACTTGCTGCACTGGCGTGTCTTCAACAGTGATGTTCACTGTGGCTTCTTTCGTGTATGGCCGTTGAGAGGTTGCTTTACCAATGACCATAGCCTCAGTCTTTTTACCATTGATTCTGAGACCTCCCTGGGCACCATACATACACAAAAGGTCAGTTGTTTCTTGAAGACCTTCCTCGCTGTTATCCAGTACAGCCATGTCATCTGCATAGTCTGTATCTAACACAGTGATATCATCAACAAGCGGACTGATAGATCTTTGAAGAACCGCTCCGTGGGACACCACTTTGTTGCTTTCTGTTCTCTCAGCAGCCACATTGAGGCAGACATTAAAAAGTGGGGGACCCTGAATGTCTCCTTGGCCACTGCCTGAACTTACTTCAAACCATTCTGATAGTTCACCATTGTGTCTAACAGCACTAACAGTTCCATTAAAGAATGCCTGTATTATTCGAATGTATTTACATGGCAGGCCATAATGACTGAATGCTTTCCAAATATAATTCCTGTCGATGGAATCAAAAGCTGCCTTGAAGTCCACAAAATTTACATACAGGGGGAGATTATATTCAATGCAGTTATGTATAATAGTGCGGAGTGAATAAATCTGATCAATGCATGATCTGTTCTTTCTAAACCCACACTGATTGTCTCGTAGCAAACTTTCTAAACCGTCACTCATGCGTTGTAATATGATGATTTGATACAGTTTAGATGCTGTAGATCTTAGAGTGATCCCCCTATTATTGGAGCAATGAGAGGTATCACCCTTCTTTGGTACAATTATCACGATGCCTTTCAACCAGTCGTCAGGCACTGCTTCTGAATTCCAAACTTTAGAGAACAATTTCTCCATCCTATCCACAAGACCACTTGCCCCATACTTTAACTGCTCATTAGAGATTTCGTCGATCCCAGCACTTTTGTGGTTCTTCAATTTTTTGAGACAGTTTAAAATCTCAAGTCTAGTGGGGGGACCATCACCATCACCAAGATAAGGAAAGCATGGAACCACTTCAAGATGGTCCAGGTCAGACAGATCCGCATTCGTGGGAGGAGGGTTTAATAGCTCCGAAAAATGTTCTCCCCATCTCTCTCTCTGAGCAGAAGGATCAGCAATCAACTTCCCGGATTTGTCTCTTACAGCAGTTGATTTTCGATTCTTCTTACCGGACAGTGTTTTTATCCGTTGCCAGACTTCCCTTTGCCGGCCATGGACAGCAGCTGTTT